ACCGGTATGCACGTACAAAGTCGGCATCTAGACACTACGAGAGAGAGAGAGAGAGAGAGAAAAAGAATTTTCAAATGGCCACTGAAACAGGATTTACTATTCCCGCTATTTTCTTTCGAGATTCGTGCGGACGTTTTGTAGTTTGTTGACCCCATGCGGTAACCTCTACTCACTCTCGCAGCTGGGCTATGACCTCAAACGCGGCCGTCTACCGGCGAGTTGAATTATCGCCGTTGTTTCTGCTGCTGATATTGTTGATAGCTGGGTCAACAGTTAATCGTTCGACAGCACACCGATTCACTGGAGCTGGCCTCCGCGTTGAACTTTTGTTAGATATATGTTTTTCTTTTACGTCTCGGACGGGTGACCCTTTTCGTTGCTCGTATTTGTTTGGTGTCTTTTGTTGAACGTCAGAGGCTGCGTTCCTACTCGTTCTTGATCTAGACTTGACCTCTATTTGAGCCGTCGGAAGGTCATCGAACAGCGACCCCCTCGTTTATGAACGATGCACTGTCGGCACTCACCGGCGGCCACGGCTTGAGTCCGGTTCTGCGGAGCGCGTGCTGACGGTTTCCTCGGCGCTTCAGGAACGTCGGTGATTTTTGTGTCGGAGCCAGTTCTGAGCATGCGTTGTGCGAATCCCGGACAAAAGCTCACCGGACAAAAGCTCACCGGACAGAAGCTCACCGGACAAAAGCTCACCGGACAAAAGCTCACCCATTTTTTCACAGACCCGGACAAAAGCTCACCCATATTTTCACAGACCCGGACAAAAGCTCACCACAAGAAAATTTCATGTTGGTCTTAACACGAGTGCGGACAACTTAGGTGCATGCGTGCGACACAAAAAGGCAACGATAAATTAAATCTGACAGGCGCATGGTTTGTTGATTTTAGTAGAAACAAGTTTATTTATCGATTGGTTAGAAGCGAATGCAGTGCCTCACTAGCTCCAGCAGTCTTGGTAGATCTCGATGTACATGCAAGCCCTCGCAAATGTTTCTAAGACGATTCTGCAGGTGCAGAGTAATTTTTCGCACCCGCTTTACGGTGGGCTCACCTCTCCGGGCTTTTGTCAATGCCGTGGCAACGAGCGCCTGATTTTGCTGTAGGCATTCAATCAGCCTCAAAAGGCTTGGATGAGCGTGGCCGACGGGCTTCTGGAACCCGGTACTCTATCTTTTGCAGGTGTTGCTCATCCGGTCTTTATCTTGAAGAGTGGTGTCGTACATATTCCACCGTACCGGGGGAAACTCCGGTCGCCGTCGGCGCAGAGTCAGGCGAAGGGAAGAATTCGCTCTGGGTGCCGCCACAGATGGAACAGAAGCATAACGGAAGCGGCCGTTGAAATACGTGCAATCAAAATAGTCCAGTAGGTAGCGATGTCACCGGTAGACTTTTCCCTGGTGGTCAGTTCTTGTAGAACAAGCTGTGGTGGAAGGAACCCGAGCCAATCTAAAATCCCGCACAATTTTTTTTAAATTTGTCATCTGTCTTGTACTTTTCCAAAAGGCCGAACTCCAGTTCTTTCAAAGTATTTTTAAAAAATTCTCAACTCAAATGTGGATGATTTACAAGTTCTCCTAAAAATGGTCCAATGTCCATTGCGTCCGCACTTTATTTCAGCCCCTGTTTCGCCCGGATAGTAAAAAAAAAAGAAATAGAGGTGAGCTTTTGTCCGGGTCTGTCAAAAAACGGGTGAGCTTTTGTCCGTGTCTGTCAAAAAACGGGTGAGCTTTTGTCCGGTGAGCTTTTGTCCGGTGAGCTTCTGTCCGGTGAGCTTTTGTCCGGTGAGCTTTTGTCCGGTTACCGCGTTGTGCATAACGGGTTTAGACGTATACGTTTAATAAATACTGACCACCGAAAATCTTACGTATTGGTAGTGTTACCCGGACTTTAACGTTTCGTCTTCCGAAAAGACGGAAGAATCATCTTGTTTTATTACTAACGTGATCCAGCATATGGTCACTGGATAAAGAACTCGACAAGGAACGCTCGAACACCACCAAGGAGAAGAGTTTTATGGTCGTCTGTTGTGAGCCCGTGGTTTCGTAGAAGTGCCTTCGCGTGTGTCGTGGTGCATGTAAGCCAACATGTCGCGTTCTGTCTTCTGCGCATGTGGTCGCAGTCCGCGAGAAATGACGACGGCGTAAAATGACTCGAATTCTCCCTTTATAATTTTGGGCATCTGGCCTGCACTCGGAAGAGGTTACGTAGCTCACTCTGTTTATGACTGCGTAGAGCTGCAGGCGTACACCTCAGACATTAGGTCGGTGCCCAAATACGCGCATATATTTTCTCCCGAAGAGAACAATACCATGAAAACAACCAGTGTAACTGGATGTGTTTTGGGGTGGTGCAAGCCAGTGTTGGGAAGCGTATATTGTATACCTCAAAGTGCTACTTCAAGTATAGGTTTAGAAAACTTGCACTTTACCTGAAGTACATTCTCTGAGTATGTACATGCACTTTACTTAAAGTAGCTTTTCCTGGTACTTTCTGGGAAAATTGCAACGCCCGACTTCAACATTCATCAAATTTGGACGACTCTCGCCAGAAACACGAGCAGACGGCGCATCGCTCTCTTTCTACCGGGGGCGGCTTTGCCGCAGTATTTCGAACTCCAGCTGCTTCTCGCAAGCGTGGAGGTTAAAGGTATAAAGAAGTTTTAGCAGACCGTGGTTTCAAGCCACGCTATTTGTAGCGGGAGCTCGCGCTGCCACTTCGATGCATGTTCTGAAGCGCGCGCACGTAGCTAGCGGGCCTTTGAAAACCCCATAGTGGGTAAGACGTTTCTGAAAGCAAGCCCCCACGAAAGGATTGCTTGCGGAAACAACGGTGCTTACGTCATGCTTTCTCCTAGTCTGTTTTAACCTCCTTGGGTTAAAAAAAGAAAAGTTCTTGAGTGCAAGCCAATGGAAGCTGCGCCAAATTCAAAGCCGTAGGGACTTCTGAAATTTGCGCCATTTCCAAAAATCCAATATTCGCTGCCATTTTCCGAATAACTGATGTGCTGCCGATTACCCTTGGGGCAATGCATGCTAGCAAAAAAAAAAAACACTGCATAGAGGACTGAAAGGGCATCATGAAAGACTGTGTTACAAGCCCTTGTATTTTAAAACTACATTGTATTTGTAGTACTTTGTTTAAAGTACATTGCGCCCGGTGTACTTACTGCTTTACATGTAGTACATAACCTCTATTTCACTTTGTACTTTAAGTACTTCTTAGATCTACTTGACCCAACACTGAAGAAAGTTGCTTGGTTCTTGAGACTAACCAATAAAAGAAATGTTGCGGCCCAAGGCACCGCTGTTGCGGTCTTGGTATAATTAAAATTAAGTTTCAGCAGGGTTAGGCTGAGGTTAGGTTATCATAGGATTAGGTTAGGTTAGGCTGTTTTGATATATTTCGTGCATAAATGCTCATAGAGCGGATTTTTAGTACGACGTAAAACGTTATTTGCTTGTCTATGCTGTGGAAGGTGCAACTTGATGAGTGCAGTATTCTGAAAGCGCATCTCCAAGTTGTGATTGTACGATTTGAACTGCCAACGCTCTTCGGTTTTTGGGAATGATGCCACTTTTTATATGCGCAATACCGGCAGCACTACATGAAAGAAAAGGTGCACCGAAAAGTAGCGATGGCGTAGAATCGGTGAAAGACAAAAGTCGAAACCAAGAAAAGCTCTTTCACTATCTCGAAAGAGAGAGAGAGAGAGAGAGTGTGTGTGTGTGCGCGTGTGTGTGTGTGTGTGAGAGAGAGAGAGAGAGAGAGAAAAACAACAAAAACAACGTGGCAATGACACTCTGGAACAATAAGAAAAACAATACAATAACAAGTACCATGATGCCCACGCGTACACGAACGCACTCGGATGTGCAACAACCTCTAAAACGAGATGCGAGAACTGCATCCACGAAGTCTGGCTCTTCAGCTCCAGCGTCTGTCTGCACGCCATGACACTACGCTGCAGTACTTTTCAACCACTTTAACGGTCCTGGCACGAGCACCAAGGTAGAGCACTGCACGGGCCGGGGCCAGCCCGAAAGCCCGAACCCGACCCGGCCCGCGGGCCGGACTCGGGCCTGGCAGCACACATTTTCTCGGGTTCGAGCCGTGCCTCTGCCGCAAATTCTAAACTCTTGATAACAAAATGTGTGCTCATTGATATTTTAGGTTCAATGAAAACAAACAAGTAAAATGCAAAGTCACCATGGTGCCGTTCAAAGGAAATAACGAAAATCCTTGGAAAGATTTAAAGTGGATAAAATAAAACGTAGGGACTCCACCGGCATTTTAGGTTAATGCATGAGAACGTTTTCGAGCTCATGTTTATTATCTGTCGGGCTCGGGCCGGGCTCAGGCTGATATTTAATAAAAGGTTTGTCGGGCTTGGGCCAGGCCCGGACAGTCTCTCTTCCGGGCCGGGTCGGGCCAGGTCTAGAAATTCCAGCCCGTGCAGTGCTGTATGGTCAGTTGCCCGGGCGGTTATAATCTCCGAGAGGATGAAAACAGTTGGGAAGTCTTTCATTTGTGTACCGCCTCCAGCGTAGGCATCCTATGCGGGAAGCAAGTCTTCTGCTTCTATGTTGCGGTGACGTCGGAACGAAGCCGAGCTGTGATTGGCTCTAATTGAAGGATAGTGGGTAGACCTCAAAGCAAGCTGTCTTGAGGTCTACCCACTATTTTTCAATCAGAGCCAATCAGAGCTCAACGTCGTTCTGACGTCACCACAACCCCTGCAAAAAAAGCAGACGAACTTGGGCTCCGCATTGCTTCGATGAAACTTCGGCTTCTCGTGTGCTTCCAGCGCTCAAACGCACCCAATGCCTGACGCAAGGCAACGAACGCGTGTTGGATGGCCGATCATCCGAAAGAGACGCTCTGCCGTTTTCATCCCGTCAGCGACTAGAGTCAACCACGCAGTTACCGGGCCCTTTATGAAACCAGTGATCGGCATCGAAACCACGCTGTAACCCTCTCTGTCTTCCGTCCAGGATGCCGGGCAACAGGACGTGTACCGACGGGCTCTTGCTTCCGTTCCTGGACGAGTCCTCCTGGTCCCGCGAAGGACGGTCTTTCGTCTACCTGCTGGGCCTGCTCTACTGCTTCCTAGGGGTGGCCATCATCGCCGACGTCTTCATGTGCGCCATCGAGAAGATCACGTCCAAGACGCGCCGCATCACTCTGTCCGCTCAGGTGCCCGGCGCCCAGCCGGACGTCATCGAGGTCAAGGTCTGGAACGAGACGGTGGCCAACCTCACGCTCATGGCGCTCGGCTCGAGCGCACCGGAGATCTTGCTGGCCATCATCGAGATCATTGGCCACAAGTGAGTCTGCCTTTCTGTCGTGTACCATACTCTGGAGCGTCTGCTTTCCCGCAAAGCCCTGGGAGAGCCAATCGCTGCAATCTGCGCTGCGACACTAAGCATGACATTTCATGATGCTCAGTGCCACATCGCAGACTTTTTTTTTTGTCTAAACACATTATTAGCCTTGTCATTCGCCGAGCTCTTCCCAGAGATTGCAGCGATTGGCTTTTCCAAGTACTCTGTGGTAAAGTGGACGCTGCAGATTTCTAATATTCCTGTCAGACCGGGAACTAAATGTCAGTTTCATCGAATGCCATTTATGTGATCGGCGAATAAGCTCGCGATCTGTCGCGCGTGGAATGAGCCACGCCAGGAGTGTCGCGCGCTAATCGTTCAAATGACATTCGATGAAACTGACATTTAATCGCCTGTCTGACAGGGGTATTAGTGTGTTGTGTACACACTTCGCCAGGTGTCGCTATGAGCGGTCAATTTCATGGACGCTGCCATTTTCTGCCTGACCTCGCATCTCTTACAAACTTTACAATGATATGTAGTGTGGCATGAATGAGGTTAGAGCCTCGGACAAAACTACAAAAGTTAAAAAAGCCGCAACAAGAAAAAAAAAAGGGGAGGGGGGCTACTTTTAACAAGAAACAATATGGCGAGGACAATTCTTTCCAAAGGGGACAAGTATAATCGTCAACTACAACAAATAACACCAGGGCCTCTAAACTCGTCAAACACAAAGTTGGGGCCGAAGTTGACGAAGCGCACCGATTGGACGATCGCGACAATGACTTAGCACTTTTGTCGCCGACGTCCCATCGGCGCGCTCCGCGAACTTTCGGCTCCAACTTTCTGCTTGACGAGTTTAGGGCCCCAGGGGCCCTAAACTCGTCAAACACAAAGTTGGAGCCGAAGTTCACGGAGCGCACCGATTGGACTGTCCCGGCGATGACTTCGCGCTTTTTTCGCCGGCGTCCGATCGGCGCGCTCCGCTAACTTTCGGCTCGAACTTTGTGTTTGACGAGTTGAGTGACCCAGGCCCTCTAAACTCGTCAAACACAAAGTTGGAACCGAAGTTGACGAGGCGCACCGAATGGTCTATCACGCTGATGACTTTGCGCTTTTTTCGCAGATGCCCAATTGGCGCGCTCCGCGAACTTTCGGCTCCATCTTTGTGCTTGACCAGACTAGGGCCCCAGCCAGCAGAACGTTTCTTCAAACGCTGAGCGAAAGTGAATGCATCCGCTCGCCAGCCACTCCTCCTGGTGCCCGTTATGCGTAATCGGTTCGAAATTCTTTGTAGAACAATAACGGAAACATGGACACTGGACACATATATGTGTCAAAAAATCAGTGCAGCTGTATGTACGTAGTGTAGTACAAGGTTGCCCAGACTGTGAGATTTTTTTTCTAGAACTTTGTTTTAGGGACGCAGAAGGGGAAAAGGGGCACGCTTACCAGGGAGCCGCGAGACGGACTTGGACCAGTAAAGAGCGCCGCATGCGGCTCGCGAGTCGCAATTTAGAAACCCTTGATATATAGTGTGCCAGAACGCCGCCGTAATAGTGGCATTTACTTTAAACGCAAATTAATTTTTTTTTGTTGGCTCGGGGGTACGTGATTTTGAGAAAGGATGTAGTAGGTAACGTACACCACAAACAAGACCATGTGATCTATAAGCCTTCATGTGGGCTTTGCTAGGGTGATGCCACCCTTTGTAATACCACTCGCCGACAAACCAGCAGCAATTTTGGCCTTCGCGATAATCCGTAGGCTTATAACCCCCCCCCCCCCCCCCCCCCCCCCCCCCCCGGAAACAAGCACCTTATCTCACAAGTTCGGAGCAGCGTTGTGGAACCCACGGAGGGACGATTAGCATTTCCCCCCTCGGATGGGAGGACCGATGGACAGAAAGGCCACTTTCCGGCGCACCGGGAAACAACGAGGACAAAATGGCAGTGGACGAGGGTGTGGGAAAGGGAAACAGGCAGTTGACATCACCCTATGCGAAGCGCACATGGAGGCACCCTAATGTGATCACGTGACGCCCGAGACCACGTGACGTCGTGGTGTCCCGCTAAAGTTAAAAACAGTGACGTGACCCTTTCCTTCTTGTTTATTGTGGCCGCTTGAATCCGTCAGCACTCTCACACAACCAGTTGTTGCTTTTCGGACATGACATTCGAAACTGTGCGGAAACTTTATGTGTATGTGTTGACTGACGTTGGGGAAGTCTTTGGAGGGGAACATTCTGACGCTGTTGCTCATCTAAACGCAGCTTCGAAGCGGGAGACCTTGGTCCCGGTACCATAGTAGGATCGGCAGCGTTCAACCTGCTGGTCATTACTGCCGTCTGCATCACAGGCATTCCCGGAACGGAAGTCCGAACCATCCGAATGGTCAAGGTACGCAAAGCGATTGAAGCAGTCACTGCCCGTGCAGGTTTCGACGAGAAAGCTCGCCACGATCGCGCTTTGTGTTCCAACTTTCCGCAGGTCTTTGGAATCACGGCCTTCTTCAGCGTCTTTGCCTACCTGTGGCTTCTGATAGTGCTGCTCGGCTTCAGCCCCCACGTAGTCGAGCTCTGGGAGGCCATTCTCACGTTGCTGTTCTTCCCGCTCCTGGTAAGACACTAGCAATCTGGTTCATGTATGCTGCAAAAGTTCCCATAACTGAACTGAGCAAGACCACAATGAGAATTGAGGCTATTATCTTTGCAGATGTATGCACCTTGCACAAGCAGCACTATGACGAATGGAAGTAGGGCATCAGGTCTTTCCCCTCTCCACACAAGGGTCTTGCCCCCGCAAACAAGTTGTCAGCACTACTTACTGAGGCAGTAAAAACGGTTTATAGGAGAGCAAGGAGGTCCATCTTCAGCAGTAAGGCTAGTTTGACAACAAGACATATTTGCAACCCGTGTTTGCTTAGTGTTCGTACAGCGTGAAGATGCCTTAAGGACCATAGTGCATGAAGCTTATTCAATGGCTAATTTTGTTGGCCGAATTTTCTAACATACGTTTGGCGACATATTTGTGTCTTTCTGCCCGCCGCATTACCAAATTTAAAAATCCCTACTTTTTTAAAATGAAAACAAACATCTGTGTCATCTTGTGGGAAAAAACAAATGTAAACAAGCCCAACAGGTAAAGACACAAGGGACAAACACCTTGCCTGTGTATGGAGAAACGTCTTTCCGCTTTTTGTACAGTGTGTATAATTTTAAGCTTTACAGATTTGTGAAAAAAAAAAGCTGTGAAAGCAGTACTAATGCGATTTGTGGAGGTACGTTATACGGCCAAGGGGGTTAACCGTCGCGATAAGTCGGCTAATTATTTAAAATTCGTGAACTAGCATTTTAATTAGTGAGAATGAACACATGGTTCTTATGAGAAACTAGCTAAGCGTAATCAAACACCCACTAAATTTGTTAATTTCGGAAAGTCTTTAACCAAGTGGGAAGCACGCTGCGCTGAAGTTACTACTCAATCCCAGGGGCGTGTCGAGCCCCGGGGCATCTCATTATAACACCACAACCAATGAGATTGTGGCATTCGCCAGTAAGAACAGCGAAGAACCAGTCACAAAGCACGAAAAGTTTACGTCACTCATAAGCCACGCCCTTCGTTTCTTAAGCTGTCTGTGACGTAGACATGAGATTGTGTGATCGCCTCTTTCAGATATACAGGATCTTTTTTTAAGTTTTACAGATTTGTTTTAAAAAAGCCGTGAAAGCTACACTTATGCGGTTTGTGTAGGTGAGTTATGCGGCCAGGGAGACTTTAATTATAAGCGGATAATGTTTGCGATAAGTCGGCCAATAAAATAAAATTCGTTAATGAACTTTTTAATTAGTGAAAATAAACATAGTGTTCCACTAAAAAATTGCTGAGCATCGTCGAAAACCGCTTTATAAACTCTTTAAAAAGACTTGAAGCTTGTGGGAAACTCAGGGGCGCGCCAAAGTTACCACCCGTGAAACAGGCGCAAAGCTGGCAGTGGCGGAACGCGATGATAATCTAATCATCCGCGTTTTGCCACTGCCAGCTTTGCGCCTGCTTCGCGAGCGCTAACTTTGGTGCACCACCGAGTTTCCCACGAGCTTCAAGTCGTTCTAAAAAGAGTTGATTTAGAGGTTTTCGATGACGCTCTCTAAGTTTCTAAATGGAGCCATGTGTTTATTTTCACTAATTAAAAAGTTAATTGACGAATTTTAATTTATTAGCCGATTTATCGCAAACATTATCTACTCACATAATGTACCCCTGGCCGTATAACTCACCTGCACAAACCACATAAGTGTAGCTTTAACGGCTTTTTTAAAAGAAATCTGTAAAGCTTTAAAAGAAAACCTGTAATATATACAGATTTATTACAAATTAGAAGTAAAATATGCACTGATACAGTTTGGGCAGGGGAGTTATACGGCCAGGTGGACATCATATAGGTGACTAGTCTTTGCGATACGTGAGATAATTAACTGCTTCCTTAAATAACCTTTAATTAGTAAAATTAATCGTAGGGTTTCAATTAGGAACATGCTGAGCATAATCGAAAACCACACTATCAGTCAATTTTAGAACGACTTGAAGCTCGTGGGAAACTCGGGGGCGCACCAAAGTTACCACTTGTTGCAAGAAGCTAGTTCCTCCTAACTGGAACCATATGATCAATTTGGCCCAATAAAATGTTAATTAAGGAAGTTTAGCTAATTATCTAGTTATCCACCTATATTATGTCCCCCTGGCCGTATAACTCACCTTCCCAAACTGTAATGGCGCATCTTTTACGGATTTTTTTCGTAATATATCTGTTCGAATTAAAATGGAACACCCGGTATATATCTTAATCTACATCCCGATCACCTTGTCGCTCACTTCCTTTTTTTCTTCTTTTCTCGAAGGTGTTCCTGGCTTACGCCGCGGACCGAGGCATCTTCTGGCCGGGAAGACGTGGGCGCAGCGCCCAGAAGCAGCTGGAGCTGCAGACGACCACGGACACCTCTGTGAGGAACGGCAACGCCGTGGCTCCCGTCTCGGCTCCGGGCACGCGGAAACAGTTCTTCCCCAACGGGGAACTCAACAGGGAAAGCCTGCTGGACTTCATCAGGGTAAGACAACCACCGACCGGTTTAGGGATTGCATGGCAGCACTGGCGATGCCGGCTTTGGAGCCCCTCCCCGCGGGCATTCACAGAGTCGGTTGCCGTGGAGAATGTTATCGAACCCTATTTTGTTATTCACTCCCGCGACCGAATCAACCGAATAGGACGCTGATGACGGTAGGTGCCGACCAGCTTGTGGTTCCTGTTTTATGAATACATATTTTTTTACATTTTTCAGCCATGCGGAGAGCAAAGCGTCTGCTTGTTTCACATGGAGTCGCGGAATCGAGCTCTGATTGGTTCTGATTGAAAGGATAAGGGGTAGGAACCTCAATGCTAAATACCTTAGAGTCCATCCACTGTTGTTTTTTTCATTCAGCCAATAAGAGTTTGGCTTTCTGACATCGTCACACCCCATGTGCAAGAAGCAAACAAACTTGCGCTCCAAATACCTTTTCTTATCAGGATTGTTTTTTTCTTTTCTGCGCAATGTTTTTTAGAGTTTTGAGGGACAGAAAGTGATTTTTAAAAGTTATATTTATGTCATAGCACATTGACCATTTCAGTGAAACCTATCATTTTTGTTTCTGCTCTCTTTTAGCAATAATCGTGTTCTTGCCAGTAAGTTCGCTGTAGAAATATGTTTTATGCGGTTGTATGGATCATTTGCTTTTCACCGTGATCGTTCCGGTTTAAATTTGTTTTTTGTTCGATTTCAACGTCTGTGTTTTTCTATTTTTGCAGGAGATCCGCAAGCACCCTGGGCTGACGGACGAAGACGCCGCTTGTCTCGCATCGGCGCAGCTCGCCGAGCAACAGCGCCACACACGGATGTGGTACCGCGTCGGAGCCATCCGCGACCTCACCGGCGGACGACGCACCAAACCCAGCATTTCGGAAAAGCTTCAGCACGTAAGAAACACCTGTCTGCGCCAAACTGCATCTTTCAAACGGTTAGCCTAAAAAATTATAGTAGCGAAGTCCGTAATGAAATAGTTTCGTATTGGCGTACACGCGTTCCACCCAGAAAGCAATCTTACAGCCTTAGACCAGAAATCCTTTCTCTTTGAGGAACATTGAAGTTAGTTGCTAGTATTTAAGTTGCTAGTATTTAAGTTGCTAGTATTTAAGTTGCTAGTATTTAAGGAGGCATCTGGGGACATTCCGACCGAGTTATGAGGCAAATGTATACAATTTCCTGCCTCACATATTGATTCAACAGTTAATGGGCATGATCGTACCGGCAGTGGTCAAGAGCGAAACGAAAGTGGGCTGTAGATTTTAGGTAGCCACAAGGTGCAAAATTGAACTTCGGTAAATTATATGAAAGATAATTTTTAAAAGTATTTCCTCTTACATGTCTGAATTTATGGTTGGTGTAAATAGGAATGAGAAAGCAGAATGAAAATGGGAAGGAGCCGACATAATTTATTGGGGACAAGGAGCATTCTTCAGAGCGGTCATTGCAATTGAACCAAGGCTGACTGCTAGATCCCAGCTCAAAGTACAAACGTTTACTTTCATCTTTAACGGCGAGATTTCGTGTCGCTTTACAGAAGATGGACCAAGAGGTTCGAGACATGTTTGCACTGGCCGTTAAGGACGAAGCTGATGCCAAGGTGAGATACTCGCTCTATACAACTACGCATGCAACTTGCCATTTTTCCTTTTTCAAAACTTTGGTTCAGATTAGTTGGAAATTCATAAGAATTAAAAAAAAAAAAACTAAAAATGTGCGAGCTATGCACAGACAATGGAGGGCACATAAAAAAACACTGTCTGGCACTACACACCTGTCTTGTACCCGCTACTGCAGAAAATAGTCGATTACAATTACAATTACTCTTGGTTTAAAAGTATTCAGTTAGGTTACTTGATTACTTAAAAGTCAAAAGAATTGGTCTTTACTTGGAAAAAAATAACCATACTTTTCCAGTTATTGCAGATTTTAAAAACGATAAATTTTTCTGTCGGTTTGAGAATAGGTTTGTATTGGTTAGTAAACACCAAACTAAAAACTGCTTATCTTCCAACCCACCAGTTTTAGTAAACCATCGTCTTGTCGGGGATTTGATTTGAGGATTCCTTGGAAGGAAACTTGTACAAAGAGCACCATTAGATAGGGGAGGAAAAATATCAACGGCTACAAGTAATTTTAGTACTTCCAAAATATTAAAATTGCGCTTGCGACTACTTTTTGATAAATGTGTTCAAATGATTACAAAATTATATTTTAAAAAGTAATCGATTACAAGTAATTTGATTAGCTGTAATGAGTGCCGTACAAGTCTTGACTACACCGTGAACGTATTTACACACTTAATGGTGCGAAAATGTTGTTCTGAATAGTTACAGGCGCTACACCCTTTAAGCACCCTTGTTTCGAGTGACACAGCTTTTATGGGTGCTGTTGAGTGGGGCATCCTTTAATTTGTTTTTAGGAATGTAGAAAGGCTGTAGAAGAGAGTGTTGTGCAGTGTGGGAACCGTCTAGCTCACTGTCGTGTGTGCAGCGCCAACCACTTATTTCAAACGGTTTTAGCGGGAGTTGCTTTAGCGTCCACATCAAATTTATATTTCCTGTACCAATGTTTTTTTTTACTTGAAAATACACTTGTTAAATTTGACAATATTACTTTTTGTGGGAAAAATGTATTATGTACCTGGCACGACTCCACATGTTAAAGGGGCACTGACACCCCAAGGGTCGCATTTTTTTATTGTCTAAAACGATGCAAATTGTAATAAAAGACATGCAAAAAAAAAAAAAACATCGCAAAAAAATTTGACGCGCGCGCACGTTTTTTTATTTTTGGCGCTTTCCTCTCCCGCTCTTCGCCTCCTCGCTTCTTTTGATTCGTGACGTCAAAAATCATGAAATTTAGAAGCTCTGTAGGCGACATTTTTATAACATTTAATAACGGCAATCGTAAAACATGTTTCCTAATTCTATTGCGAACGCACTACGGCCCTTCTTTTGGAAATACCAAAAATCGGAGTCCGGTGTGATGTCGCCTTCTGGAATTGTATCCTCCCCCGGAAAACATGCCGCCAAGAAAGTCGGCACCCCTCGCACGGAATAAAACCGTTTTTTCTAGGTCCGCCGGCGCCCTTGTCTGCCGCTCCTTTCCTCCTCGCATCGGGTCGCGGTGGCAACAGCCCAGAGCCGTGAAAGAAAGTCGACTCTCAGGACTCCGCAATATTTGACGTCAAGACACCGGCGCGGATCGCGCGGGAACTTCGAATTCGGCATTTGGAAATTGTTTTTTTACTTCACAAATACTGAATTCCCAACTTTCAAATTTTGAGGGCAATGCCCCGGCATCGTTTTCAATCGTTTCGGACAATAAAAACAGTGGTTTTGATGTGTCGGTGCCCCTTTAAATTTGATAATGTGTCTAATGATAGTGTATTAGGGGCATAGTTTACTGGTTTAAAGAGTCAAATACTGGTGTCTAAGAGCGTTGTGTTTCTTACAGTGTGCTGGATTTAACGGCAAAGTGTGTCTCACATAGCATACCTCTTCGCCACGTTGGACCCCTTACGCAATTCGCCAACTTCTTTTCGAGGTCCTTAAAGTTTTATCAAAGAACAATACAAAAGAAAGAGCTATTTAGTTGTCTGTGCGTTCATGTACATTTGGTGCAGACTGCGGACGAAGTGGAGCAAGGCAAGCTGCTCAAGCCCGTGCCGGAGTCCGAGAGTAAGGACGTCGCCCTGATCGAGTTCAACGCCAGCTCGTGCGCCGTGCTCGAGAAAGCCGGCAAAGTGGACGTCATCATCCGCCGGAAGGGAAAGATCGACTGCCCGGCGACTTGCAGGTAGGCTGATCCCGACGGAGGTTGTTCGAGAAGAGTTCTGCGTGCGCACAGGCCCTTCTCACGCAGCGGCGAAAACTCGAACTAAGGTTGGCGTCGCGGACGAGGCCAGAGAGGTGGCGCAATTCCCCTTCCGGACGCGGATCGAAATTTGAGCTTTAGCCGCTTGTAGTCGTCTTGCGACTGACTGAATAGGAGTCCCGGTCGAACGCCGACTCAGCGCTTGTGTCCGATTGGTGCCCAGCGCAGGACTCCGTTAGGTTATACGGGAAATTCAGTGATATACGACCTTGTTATCTAGAATGTTTTGATATACATATAACCGAAGAAGCCGCGATGCTGACAGAGAGAAATAACTCGAAGAAGAACTTTTTGTCAGCCTGGGTTTAAATGCCAAACAGACGTCCGCTGCCCCCTCGAGACTTCCGGGAGGTTCCGCTGCAAGAACATATGTGTCAATGTGTACCTACATTCCTGTACAACTTAGGAAATGTTCTTTGCCTGGTGGAGTCCTTGAAGTTACTGGGAAAGTATTCACAGTGCCAGGTACTTGATCGCAGGGTGGAGACCATCGACGGCACAGCCGTGGCCGGCGAGGACTACATGGACCTGCGCCAGATGGTTCTGTTTCAACCGGGGGAGGTCCAGCGCAAGGTGTCCGTGCAGATCGTGGACGACAACCAGTGGGAACCTGACGAGACCTTTTTCCTCCGACTCTCGCTGCCCCTGGAAAGCAGCAACGTCATGCTGGGACGCAAGTCCGTCATGGAGGTGACCATCATCGATGACGACGGTACTGGTCAAAGACTGTTCTTGATCCTTCCCGGCCCAATCCAAAGATGATCCAGTAATTTTTCAGGTTTAATGCAGGCTTATATTTCGAACATAATATTGGCATAAATACAGTCGAGGTTTATCCGAACAATCCTAATACTATTTAAACTTCAGAAGTACTCTATCAGAAGAGTCAGAATAACTTCATTTTTAGAGGTTTTGAACCTCTCCAAAGATCTAGATCATTCAGGTTGTGGAATTCTCAAAACTTGTTTAGATCTTAATGTTACCTGGTATACCCTTTCTTATTGATCTTGATAGGTTAGCAACCGTAATTATTTCCCACATTGAAACAAAGTGCTAGAAACGGATAAATCGGGGACATCCTGAGTGTCTGCGTCGCAGTCACGAGCTCAGACCTTCACCAGCTTGCCTGCGGGTCGACCATAGCACGAATATGACCTTTCCTACTCTTTTTTTTTTTTAATTTTTTTTCAGAACCGGGCACTTTTGAGTTCCGTCGCAGAGGTCTGTTGGTACGAGAGAGCGTAGGCTCGGCTCAGGTGGCCGTGGTCCGCTCGAAAGGCGCCGACGGCACGGCGTTCGTCCACTGGCGCACCAAGAGCCAGACGGCCAAAGAAGGCGAGGACTTCCATGGCGGAGAAGGCAAGCTGGTGTTCGAGCACGGCGAGACCGTCAAGAACATCGAAATCCCCATCGTGGACGACTTCGAGAACGAGAAGGACGAGCACTTCGAAGTCGAGCTCTTCGACCCATCGCCCGGATCGAGCCTGGGCCACCTCACCAAGACCACCGTGACCATCACCAGTGATGAAGGTGAGCTTGATGACTTGGCTTGTTTTGTTACATACATGAGTTTTGTACATATTGGTGTTACGCATAGCAAAAATAGCTTCACATTGATTAATTAGAGTGTGTATGTAGGGCACATGGGTCGATGTGTAATGGTAACCGGGGAGGCTATTAGTGGACCTTTTCCGATTCTGAGCACGCATAAATCACCTCCCCTGATCCTTGCTTCCTGCTGTCGCCATTTCTTGGAGAACACCGTCCCGTCCGACCAACATTTTGAGCATCTACCTCCGTGCATATTTCGTCTTTTTTGACGATTATTTCCAGAGCATAGGCAATATGAGGCATAAAAAACCAATAAAAACTGATACAACGGCACGATGCCTACGTGTTCTTATTCGTGGCGGAACGTTGAGATGCCCATCATTTGTAGTTAGCACGCAAACCCCCAGACGGCGTTCGTCACTTGAAAAAGATCATTTGAGCTATATAGTTGCAAAAAATATAGCCGTCCATACAGTTCCTTCTAGATGTTATCGAAAAACGCAACTTTGATTTGACACTCGGAAAGTATTGTGAGTGTTCAAGAAAGCAGATGTCTTAATTTGGATACGAAGAGTGCTGTTTTTGTTGAGGAGTAGGGCGGATAAACGATTTCGAAAAAAAAAATTGGACAACAATAGATAAAAAGGAGATACTTTAGGATATAAAGTCCGGTGAAGGGAGTGACCTTGCAATAGAGTATCATAAGCTCGACAACCAAGTTCTAGCAACTCTTCCTCGACATCTGTGAGGAAAGTTGCCATTCTGCCATTCGCAATCTACAAACTTTAAATTGCCGCGGCAAGATTTTTGTTTCTACGTTGCAAGCATTTTCGCGCCACGCTCCCTCCCTGCAGAGTTCAACACGATCGTGAACCGGCTCATGCTGATGACCAACACCAACGTGGACAAGCTGCGGTTGCACTCGGAGACTTGGGTGGAACAGATGAAGGACGCCATGAACGTCAACGGGGGCGACATCGAGAACGCCACGGCCGTGGACTACGTCATGCACTTCCTGACGTTCGGTTGGAAGGTGCGTATACGTAAGGGGAAACGTCGATGCGTCGCATGACAAGCTGCGTATCCGGCGGCTTTTCTGGATCTGGATCTGCGCGGTCACGGCACGGTAAACTGCGTTCTCTTGCGGACCTCACCAGCGAGAGGCCCGCAAAGCACCATTTTTGAAGATAAACATTCTTTTAAAAATCGGCATTCTCAACTGCAGAATGGTTAAACAGCACGGGCTCTCATGGTATGGACATTAGGCTGTTAACTTTCCTTCCGAGTTTTGCACCGAAGTAATATTTGTGGCCTTTTTTATTTCCTGCCAGTAACGCATCCGGGGGGCTTTATTAAATACATCGCTGAAAGCAAATTATACGAGTCCCTATACGAAAGAAAGATAGAGCCACGCATCTGGACTAAAGTATTTTTTTTTCACGTAGGATATGTTATAGAGGTGGAGACTATATAATCGACACTATGATCTAATAAAGTAAAGCAGGCAGCGCCAAAAGTGCGTCGTCACGGCATCCATCGTCTTTGTGCGTTTGGTGTCACTTACTAAGCCAATGACGATCGGTGAATGCACTGCGATTTTTTTTGTCTTTGCGCAACCAAGCGCAATGACCGAGCGCAATGACAACATACTTTTGGCGCTGACTGACTGATTCAATCAGATCGAAGCTTCGGGTGCGGACGCACTCTCGCCTGATTAACCAAGCGTCTCTACGGACGTGGTACCACAGGTCATCTTCGCGCTGGTGCCACCGACGGGCTTCCTGGGCGGCTGGCTCACCTTCTTCGTGTCCCTGGGCGCCATCGGGCTCCTGACGGCCATCGTGGGCGACCTGGCCGGAATCTTCGGCTGCCTGGTCGGTCTCGAGGACACCATCACGGCCATCACCTTCGTAGCACTGGGCACGTCGTTGCCAGACCTCTTCGCGTCCAAGGGCTGCGCTCGGTCCGAAAAGTACGCCGACAACGCCATTGGCAACGTCACCGGGAGCAACTCCGTCAACGTGTTCTTGGGACTCGGGATACCGTGGGTGGTGGCGGCCGCCTACTGGCAAATCAAGGTGAGTCAGAAGTTTATTTTTATTTTATTTTAAGCGTGAAAGGATTTTTTAAATTGAACCCGCAATTCAGAAAATGTGTTCCTCTATCGTTGCCATTCCGGCTAAATTTAGCGGGAGAATTCACGTCACGTGACCTTTACGCCAATTCAGTTTGTTCGATTGATTTAGCGGGAAAAATGACGTCATGTAGCTCAACGCCACGTGATCTATACTCTGCTTTAGCTTCCCCGCTCAACTTAGCGGTAAAATTGACGTCACGTGACATATGTACCATCAGTTTCCCAGCGGGTAAATTGATAAAAATATAAACGCCTCTTCACGCCCCGAAACGACTGTTTCATGTCTTCTAAACAAATTTAAACGCTCGCTCCTTAAATACTACATTTTGTACATTATTGTACTTTGGAGCTAAAGGTACAGCTGGCGTTTTTTTTTTTAAAGGCATAAGCCTTATACGTCTCGTTGTTCAGTCGACCGTTAAAGTCTTTGAGTGAATACACGTCGTCGACACGAAAAGTACCAAAGCGTTTACCGTGACCACTTAGGCGAATTAGAGGCAATAAAATTAAGAGGGATGACAAAGCGAATTGAGAGGAATCAAAGTGAATTCCTAGACGTACTTCTCTTGGCGTCGTCCTAGACGTTGTCCTTGAGGTCGTCCTGGACTGGCTTTCGCCTCCCTACACGTAAGCAGTCTTATGTGGACTGGTGTGGTTTTTTCTGTCACGTCATCGATTTGGGGTGGTTATACACAGGTGCAGCGGCAGAAAACACAAGAAATTCCGTGTCCTTCGTTCAGTCACTTGAGTATTTCAGGTTCGCGTACCCTTAGATAGGCAGGGTCGTCCTTGCCAGATTTTAAACTTGCACCAACTGTGTCATATTTCAAAATAGAACAAAATAAATGTAAGCGCCAAAAATTGATCCATTCACGTTTTTCTTTTTTTTAAAAGTTGATTTGTTGCTTTATTAAATTAGTATAAAATAAAACACAAGCACGTGTCGTACGACACGTTGAAAAGATGGCCGCATATCTGACGATGCGCCGGAAAAGACAAGTGTCAGGTGAACCCTGTGATTGGCCGGCGCCTGATCGGATTCGGGCATCTTACCGACGTATCGTACGACCCGTTGTACCTCTCGTCACGCATGTGCTGTCCGTTTTTTTTTTGTTTTTTTTTTTTACACGCCGAAAACAAAAGGCCTGCAAGTGAGGGAGACTTGAACCTGGAGCCTTCGACAGGTGCCTTAGCCTCCCTCTACTCTCAAGTTCTCTAATCTCATAAACAACAAACTAACTGATCCATCTACGGCTCGTCCAATCGCTTCATCGGGTGAACAAATTCAACTCAAGTCCAGGGGCAGCCGAAGGAGGTAATGAGGCCAATCGTCAAAAGCGCGAGTCATTATGACTCTTTTGTTTATGATTGGTTCAGCGATGGCAACAAATAAAGCAACAAATCAATACGTACAGAAACATGACAAACGCCATGGTCTTAAATGAGGCTGTCTGATTGGTCCCGTCAGCTCGTAGCGTTGGCTGCGTCGGGAGTTATGGTGAAACGAAGTATAGTAACTAGTGGTATGGTTGCCGGAAAGTTTAGTATATCAATACAAAAACCAAATTAAATTTCTCAAAGCACACATATATATATTTGTCAACTTGCAGAAGACACGCGCGAAAATAATTGTCAGTGCTTTTAGTCAAACCTCGAAACGTGTTCTGCCAACACGTCGATAGCTATCTAGGTCGCACTGCCCTCCCGCCCACGTGTTCTTCATATAACGTTGCGTGTCACTCTCTTACAGGGTGGCGTCTTTGGCGTAGATGCTGGCTCTCTGGGCTTTAGCGTTGGCATCTACTGTGCTGTGTCGGCAAGCTGCATCGCCCTCTTGGTACTGAGGCGAAGCCTAAACTTCTTTGGCAAGGGCGAGCTGGGCGGCCCTCGCGCAACAGCAACGGCAAGCGCCGTGTTCCTGGTCTTCCTCTGGGTCCTCTACATCGTGTTGTCCGCCCTCAAGACCTACAAGAAGATCTGAAGACGTCGCTGTGCTTACTGCGTCAGAACGGGGGTGGGGAGGGGACAGCTGCGCCTCGAGATCGACCATGAGAGACAGTTGAGGGACAAGTTGTCCGTCTTGATGTGGACAACTGTGGGACAGCTGCTTCTTAAGATGGACAGCTATACTGACCACGTCGGTATACATGAATCGCAACTGTTGATGTCTTGGTGTAAACCATTTGGAGGCGTTCGCTGGGTGGAGCTGTTTTCTGTCAAGTCCGATATGGGGCATAGACAACGGGGGAAAGCGTGTACTTCTACATTCAGTTTGAAGCATCTTCTCTTGATGTCCAGGTTAAGAGAAAAAAGGCGACGGGCACCTGCAAAGGTTTGGGTTAAATTGGACACTTTAAATAGCGATTGAAAATCGACTTCTATTTGTGAGATATGAACGTGTTTTTTGGATAAACATAATGGTAACGATCAGGTAGCGGAGGGTTACAATAACGTTTGGCGCCAACTACTAAATGACATCTATGAAAAGGACCAGTTCAGATATTTTTCCAATCACAAGGCGATGAACTAGCACTTTTTTTTTCTTCCTCGTAGTAAACGGCTGCCCCCCCCCCCCCCCCCCCCCACCAAACAGATATTCACTGCTAGGTATCTGCAGCTATCTACTATAACAATTGTTTGAAGATAAAGCTGAACAGCAGATGAACAGGCATGGGGACACTGGGCACCAAGATCCAAGATATCAACTTGGGTTTGGCAAGTCGGACGATTAATGGTCACTGATGCATCGAAAAATCATCTCAAGGTCACTATCTGGGAGCGCATTTGGAGGCAGCTAAAGCTAGATTCCGATATGTCATGCTTTAAGGCGATTCAAAAAGTTGCCACAAATTATCACACTGAAAAGATTGGTGAACCCAGGGTGGGCTACATTGAACTCAGTTTCGAGATACTTGAGTGGTCACAACAAAGGATAAAACACTGAATTTTATATGAAGACAAGCTTTTACTGATTGTACTTATGACATAAGCCAGGCGATTTAACTTACCGAAAGACGGGTCGAGCGGCAGCTTTGTCACCGCCTTGCGTGTTCGTGATAATTACTCGAGCTTCGTTTTATCCATTGATATGTGGACCTCATTGTATATATAACCATCGTTTCAAGATCGCAAAATATGCTGCATGTTTTTTTTTTTTGTTTTTGTTGCTTTTCAGACACGTAAAGTGACTCTTTGCTGAGAGGTCAGCATTAGTTCGCGCGGTTGATTCGCAACTTCTGCTAATTAGTGTTGGCGTTCACACATGGCTGACTTAATTTTAACACGAGTCTGTTTAAGGTGCATTTTGAGAGCTATTTTAATGTTGCGTATACCACCATAAAAGTTCCTGGTTAACGCAAGTGCAGAATATTAGGACCATCTATTTTTTAACTATATACTTCATTTCACCTCATGGACATAGTACCATAAGACAAATATTGAGCGAACATTGCTTTCAGGTATGATGTAATTGCTCGTTGTTAGAAATGTTATGGTATGTGACCAAGCGGTATTTGCAGGGGCGTGAAATAACAAAACAAAAGTTTTTATGTAGGGAAGCGGTGTTCGCTGTTTATTCTTCCGGTGAGATCTTATCGTTTTGCGATTCAAGTAGTAACAGAGCGAAGGCTGTAGCGTGAGTGCCTTGCCTTTGAATCTGTCTTTGACTCGTGGGCGGAAACCGCCTGCTGTCAAGGCACGTGCACGTGCGCCTAGCCTTGGCTTCACTACCGGTAATACGAAGTAGTAACCTTCGCGTGTCTTTCATTTGCAGTATTGTCGACGTTATGCTGCAGGAAGTACAAAATTTGATTTACCCTTTGTGTTGACCGAGAACTGGCATTCGCCGTATTTTTACGCATGTCTATTTTAATTGTTGAACCATGTATGTTTTATTTTTTTGTTCAAAAGAAAGAAATGTGCGACCAGCGTTTGCTTTATTTACACGCTACTCTATAAGAATACCACATCATAAAGGCCTATACAGGGTGGGCGATATTTAAGTGCATCATCTGTGTGTTGTCTGTAATGTTGCTATATTCGAATTAAACAACTCGTACACATACATCAAAAATCATGTCATTGTACCACATATGTAATAACGAACGTTGTTGTGATTTCTTTGCTCAAAATGCTTAGAAACATTCTTAAAAATAGTTTGAACATTTTTTTTTTTTGTAATTGACATGTGTCGTGGGAGAGGTGTGAAAGCCAATATTTTTGTCAGATTTTTTTTTTGACGAACATTTCTTTGTCAGAAACGTGCTTGTAAAGACTGAAAAAACTGCCCGTTTCTGATATATCCCAAAGACGCTATGAATGCATAGCACTTGTAGCTCCTCTGTGACATCGGAATGTCACAAGATGTGATGTCAATACACGTCACATGACGTCAGTGTCACGTGACGGCCGTCACGCTGATGACGGTTGTCACGTGACTTGATTGCATTATCGAGGCTGGAAGTCAGGCACCGGACAGAGAAGCGCTAAAGAACCGGTCCTATAAACGCCACGTATTTAAAATAAAATAAATTATTTATTTATACTTTGCTACTTCATCAGGCGCAGAGTGATATTACAACATCCGCTATAGACACGCGGACTCGCACCTCTGACGTCACTTCACTCCTGTGCCATATTTAAGACGGGCTTGCGGAGTTGCGCGCGTCCGTGCACTGCAAGGGCTCTAATCTGGAATATTGGCGAAAAAAAAAATAATCGAAAAAATTCGACCATCGTGATTGGACAGCGTCAAAGCCAAGAGCGGCGCCGGCCAATCACGACCGCCGGATTCCTCTCCAACGTCTTTGCTAAGTGTCTAGATTAGAGCTTCAGGGCAGCGGGCCGACACAACCTAGAAGACAAGTTCTGCGCACTATATATATTTGTGAGTAACCAGTGGATCCCCGACCTGCACGCTTGATGTGATATGATATATGATATATTTATTTCAGCTACAGGAAGCCAAACCGCCCATACTTTGGAGAGCCTGCGGCGCCGCTTCTAACGACGATGAAATGGTATACTACAGTGTACTAGACTACGGGGTAGTGTTTTGGACCCGCGCGGCTCGGCAATGGGAGCTTGTGAGGCTGCGCGTCTGGACATCAATCGCGGCGCTGCAGTCGACAGGGCAGCAGGAAGTCGCTGCAGTCCGCACGTCCTGCCGCCGATCTACACCACACGCCTCACGCGAGCCGCTCCGGTCCCAACACTACCCCGTATTCTAGTACACTTAATGGTACTGTACAAATCAAGGAGGTTAGAAGTACTAGAAGGGGGCACGTTGCAATATTGGTGAAGCCTAGTCATAAAAAGTTTAAACGGCTTTGTGCCCAGCGTGACCGCAGATCTCTCTGGCGATTGGTGCGCGTGACATGTCACGTGTGAGATGGATGATTGATTGTAGAAGGACTCCTTGCAGGCTTGCGCGCGCTCCGTCCGGTAGGTTTTATCAGATCCAAGGCTAGACTGGGGTGTATTCTAGTAGCCCGTAGTAAGACGAAGGCTAGCTACGGCCACGTGATTTGGTCACGTTGGCATGGTAAGTGAGGAGAGTAAGGAGGAAAATGAGAAAGAGGCGAGGCGTCAAGGGAGCATGGCTTGTGGAGGCTACGCGGCCGACGTCATGCCCTCTCCTACCCTTTTATTCTCCATGGTACAAATGGATCGCATGGATGATGACGATGATGATGGGTTGATGAAGAGGGTGAAGAGCGTCAGGCCTAGCGGCGGTCTTCGCGACGGTGGTCTTCGTGTGGCCGCCATGGGCTGCTGACTTCTAGCAGGCTCGAGTGCCTTGCGCGAGGGATTGCTGCTTCTCCTGTAGGGAGTATTCACTGGCGGCCATATCCGTGTGCGCTGCTGCTGAGCGCGTGCTGACGGCGAGCCTCCGCAATCCTTTTGGAGCGTGCATTTAGCACCATCAAGGTTGCCGGTCTTAGCAGGCTATTAATGTCAGCTCGTTCTGAGCATGCGCTTTAAGAAGCTAGGAAGAAGAAGGCTCATCGAACGTTAGTTTCACAGCTAACAAGCTCACTGCCGGATCCCGATTTCGGGACCCGACGATCCATTAGAAACCTTGGACCCGACCCCCCATCTATCCCTGGAAGTCGGCGGCATCGAAGAGGACCTTCAGGCCCTCCCAGCCACTACACAGGACTCTCAAGCCGCGGGGAAGATTCGACCCGCAAAAAGAAACATGGCGCTCGCAAGCCCATATTCAAGAACGGAGGACGAAGCTTCCGCCTCAAAGAAGGTAGGACTTGTTATTTCCGACGAGGACTGGGCAGAGTTCCAGGCATTCAGAGAAAGAAAAGAAGAATACGCTCGCATAGAGCTAAACAAAAAGAAGTACACCGCTTATGAAGAGCACGAAAAAGACATTGGAATGTTCTTGCAGAACAAAAACGCGATCTTCAACTACATGAACCAAATCTCCAGCGAAAACACCGAGTCACAACCTTTGACTCCTGGCACCGAAGCTTCGAGCCAGGGCACACACAATCTCGTCGGTGGCGATGGTATTGCGGCTTCCATGGAACAAAACAACCAAGATGGCACGTGGCAGCAATACAAGAGACGTCGCCGACGCAACCGATCCGATAAATCCACGTCACAGACACCCACGCACACGGTCGTCCTTAAGCCCGTGGGTCGCGAAGACGTTTACAACATTGCGAGCAAGAACATCCGCGACGCTATTACCAAGACCGGCGTAAGCGACAAGGAGTGTTCAGTTCACACGAATGAACTGAATGAACGTTCAAACACCATCGCCACCATCGCTATCACCACGCAGAACCGTGAAGCCATCGACAAGCTCATGACAATAGGCAAAATCGACCTCAAAGGAAAAGCACTTGAAATGAAGCCATACGTGGCAACCTCAAGCTCGCAAATCAAGGGAGTCATTTATCTGCGAGGATACGACAACGACGAGACTCCTGATTCGCTAACAAAAGAACTGGAGTGCAAAACCCACCAGATCTCCTCGGCCAGAATCATCGGCCAGTCAGGAAGAACGGTCCTCATCAGCTTTGAAGGCCGGTCCCTACCAAACTACGTCCGATACCCCTGCGAGGCCTTTAGGGTAACCTCATACAGACCTAGGCCCTTGGTGTGCTATAACTGTCACCTCCTTGGACACAAAGAAGACGTCTGTCCTATAAATATTGCCGCGCGCCAAGTAGACAGCGCGGCCGTAGCCTAACGGTTATCGCGCTTGCCTCCCACGCGAAGGGCCAGGGTTTGATTCCTGGCCGCGGCTACGCATTTTTGTTTACACTGTAATGTGATGTTCTGGTGAATTCAAGAACCGTCTAGCTGATTCGAGTTTAGAATGTTCTACGCGTCGAACCTCTACGTCGAATGCTCCAGAAGCCAACGTGTGTACAAAAGCGGCTCCGCGTGGCAAGCCGGAGTCAGTTTCACTCCAGCGTTCGTCTCTGCTGCTACGCCGACTTCGACGCCCGCGACGCTCTGTATTATCTTTTGTACCCTTTTATTTTTTTTTTGTCACAAGTTCGCCACATTAAACGTTTATTTTTTACTGTTTATTTCTTGTTTATTGGTCACCACCCGTGACATTTTGGTGGAGCTGCGGGGTACCGCATGCCCCTGCCGCGTACCCCTCCGAGGGCCCGCAGTGCAAGTCCGACGCCTAGCCCACGAAGAACCAACGAAAGCACTTCAGAGATCCGGTTCAGTCGTCGCACCCAAGGCCCACACCCGGAATTTGGACCTCTGCCGCCCAAGGCTAAGCAGCCAACGAGGCCAACGATGGACAGCCAGTCGTCGCAGAACCCGTCCACCGCCAGCGTCGTGTACCTGCCCATCGCACCCAAAACTCCGACGCCTTTCCACGGAGACGCCCACGAGGACATCGAGGACTGGCTGCAACATTATGAACGTGTGGCCCGACATAACGGGTGGTCAGCTGAGCACTGCTTGCAGAACCTTTACTTTTCGCTGGAAGGAACTGCGAGGCACTGGCTGGAAAACCACGAGGCTTCTTTGACGTCGTGGGAACTGTGCAAGCAAGAACTGAAGAAGACGTTTACCAGCCAGCACCGACGCGAGAGGGCCGAAGACATCCTTCGAACAAGGACCCAAGGTCCGAATGAAAGCATCACCAGCTTCGTCGAGGATGTTCTTCGCCTGAGCGCCCGCGCCGATCCTCAGGCTACAGAGGAGAAGAAGCTGCGACACCTGATGAGGGATGTGAAAAGCGAGATATTCGGAGGTCTCATTCGCAATCCTCCGACAACTGTTGACGGGTTCGTCACGGAGGCGACGAATATTGAGCGCGTCTTACTAGCACGCGCCAGACACTACGAGCGACACCCTGGCGTGACTACTCTGGCGACATCCGGATACGACCTTGGTACCGACCTCCCAGGCATCCGTGACATCATCCGTGAAGTCGTCCGGGAAGAAATCCGCAAGATGCTCCCCGCTACGGATCGCCCGTCCTCCCTGTCGCTCGCCGAGGTCGTCCGAGGGGAACTCCACCGAGCCTTCCAACCTGAGGTTCCGATCAACACGACGACGCCAGAGGAGCCAACTTTGAGCTACGCCGCCATGGCCCGACGACCGCCGCAAGCTAACCGCCAGACCACGGCGCCACCCCGACGAGACCCTCCGATGCCACAGTATCCTCGACGCCAGGAAGGACAAGTCGAGGACGTTCGCCCGGAGCAACCCTCGTCGAGGAAGACCGACGTGTGGCGAACGGCCGACGGACGCCCGCTCTGCTACCACTCTGGGGAAGCCGACCATGTGTACTGCCGATGCCCATACCGACGACTCGGGCTGCGCGGATTCCACCCAAACGACCCGCGCCCCCGGTATGGTGAACGCCCTCGGGAGATCGACGAGTACCTGCGACGACCCCAGTCCCCCGAGCCTGCGTCCCGCCGAGAGTTCCGGTCGCCATCTCCGCGACGTCCAGCTTCGCCGATGCACCGACCCCGACGTGAAAGCCTGTCGCCCCTCGCTCCTCGCCGGGGAAACTAGGCGCGGCAACCCCTGGAGGTGGAGTTGCCGAAGACGACCGACGTAAAGAGCCTCCAA